TTCCCTACTCCTTGTATCCAACTCCCAGCTGAAAGATTAAAGATTACATATCCTGTGCCAAACTTCCTTATTCAATGTCTTTACATTTACAGTAGATCGCTCTTCTCTTAAATGCTGCAAGTTTTGCCAAATGTATGAAATGATCTTTTAAACTGAGATCACTAAAATCTGATTTTGCCAGTTAACAGTAATAGCATTTGAACGATGTTTTATGTCTATGGCCCATTAGTCTGATGTGACGAATGACAAAATATGACCTTTTTTTTTTTTAAACTTGCACAAGTATAATCAAAACCAAAATAATTTGTTAAAGTACCAGAATTCTACAAGGTGATCAGAGTCTCAAAATCTTCTCTGAAAAGAGATAAGCAATGTGCCAAAATCTAAGGCAAGTAAGAAAGATGGGAAGTACCCTTCATGGATTCTAGAACTGAAAAGCTCACATGTAATCCTGCGTTCAATTAAGCATAAATCTTCCCAGATTCCAATCATCCTATCATGCGATGTAATTCTTTTATACAGAGAGAGTACTTATCGCAAGCAGAAACATTTATCTGCATCAGAATTTGAACAGAACAGCACACTCAATTTTAACTATCAACTCAGTCCAAAAGTGACATTTGCCACTTACTTTCTAAGAAAATTCTAAAGACAAGGTATGTTCATATAAAAATTGACTACAACTCCTACATCTTCACCAATAGCTTTAGGGCTCACTCAAAGCTAGTAAAACAATTCCATATATGCCTGCATCCATTTTGGATACTTTTAAATAGAGCAGCCAGGTAGAACAGACATTGGACAAAGGCACTCAGTACCTGTACTAGGAATCACACTTGGCTTCTGGGATGTACCAAAAACACCCAGGACAAGTCAAAGTAACAAAGCATCCCAAAAATTGGGTTCCCCCCCTCAATAGGTGGGGTTTGATAATAAAATCTGATCTCATCTACTCCCATGAAGAAGCAAAACTACTCTAAAGCACCAACAACCATCTTTTTCTTAACATCTGCAGACAGATGATGGTTCTATATCATCTGGAGTTACACATGCTTCCAAGTGTAAACATGCACTGGTGATCCTATTTATCCTGAATGGGATTTATTGATAGCCAGTATCCAAGTTTAAAAGTTATGCTGTAACTATTAATGTTTTATGTAAAGTGCAAGTTCAATGCAGCAAGGATACATAATGCTTCTGTTAGAACCAACGCAATTCTACAAGTCAAGTACCAGCAGTACTGTACATGATACGCTAATGGAGAGAATCCTTGGGTTTGGCTGGACTGCAGGAGACACAAACCCCACTAAAATCAGTTATCATTTCTTTTTTAGAAGAAAACATATATGTGGCTAGATACTATAGAATCAAAAGGAGAATGGAGTGGCCTCCACCTGAAAAGTGAAAGGACAGACTGAGCTGCTGAAAGTTTTCTTAGCCCTATAGATACCTGAAGTGAAGGAAGAAGAGGGGAGGAGAGTGTTCTCCAGCCAAGTTGGATAAGCACAGTTAAACATAGTAGTATGAACAATACTTAGCCCATCACCAAACTCCTTTGAAGTTGAACTCATTAGCTTGGTCATCCAAACTTGTAACTGAAGTGACTTGGACGCATCTACAGTTTGGTCAATACAAAGTAACGCTGCAGGAGCATCAATGAGCTCAGAACAGGCTACACCAAACAAGTATTTACACACTGTCTTGATTGGGTCCCACAGGTCCTTTGACACAGCTATAATGCTCCGTCTATGTAATCTCCCGGTAGCTTCAGCTATAGAATAAAATCTCCATTTCTTCACATTATTCTCTCTGAATTAAATTTTTCCTTCATGCTGTACTTTCCAAGTATCTTATTTTCTTTGCTGTCCTCTGTTTTCTCTTAAGTGTCTACATGAACCCTAAAATCACAAATTGGATGCAGTACTTCAGTTGAGTTTTCCCCAAGAACAAAAATGGCAACTTCATTGCCTCCATGCCACATTCGTGTCAATACAACCAGGAATTATGTTTTCCTTCCCACCACGATCATCCCCATGTCGATTTATGTTACATGCAATCCACCAATGACTCAGTCTTTTTGCATCCATCTTTTAACGCATTTCACTTTCCTGATTTCAGACCACTTTTCAAGATCCTTTGCTATCTAGTAACTGTCATCCAAAGGGCGCAGAATTCCCTCAAGTGTAGTATCATTAAAAACAAAAGTGTAATCATTTGGATGATAAAGATTAATGAAAACGTGCTACAATTGGTCCCCAGACAGTCATTCCAGTTTAATTTGATATTTACGATTTGAAATTCCTTTTGCTGTGCCTCCCATTATAGTAATTTTTCATTACATTTCTTTAGTTCACATATTAATATGATCATTATCATCTTATTCTTCAGAAATTGCTTTGCCAAATTCCATACTTCACTGAACTATTCAGCCCTTTTAACTTCAATATATTCAACTAAGTTGAACATTTTTAGTTATTTTCTACCCATTTAAGACAGTTTTCTTAATATATTATTGTTAATACTGACCACACCTGAACCTTTTTGGGGATGTTTGTAATCTTTAAAATTCAGAAATCAAGCTTATTTTCCCTGGGTCATCTGTTATTTAATCACCCTTCCCATTAGTAAGAAGCCTGGTACTTCTTTCCCTTGTTACTTTATTTCTAGTGTAGTTATTGAACCTTCTCTCCTTTTAGCATCCCAACAAAATCATTTTCCAAAAAATAAAATCTCGATTAAAACATTTCATTATTAAAAGAAAAAAAAAAAACAAGTTAAGTAGATTTCTTGATCTCAGCATACATGGCTTTTCAAGGACTTTTTTTTCCCCTCAAGCTTACTCACAGCCACACACTGTATACTCACTTCACCTGCTTGTGCAAGAGTGCACATCTGTACATAAATATTCACATAAGAATACACATCCCAGCGCCAAATCCTCCCAAATTTGTAATTTCAGTTTCATCAGAAACGAAGGCTGAAAATGGAACACATAGTGTAATTACTCTGTATTTAACAGCACTTTCCTACCTTTTTTAAGCCAGCAAATCCTTCCGATTCCAGGAAGAAAAAGGCAAAGGGCATCAACACAAACAAACATAAATTTGAGAAAAGAGAAGCAAGATTCCATAAACCTGCAACAAACAAGAAAAAGTTTACATTATTAAGTTTCTCAGCTTTAAAAGTTAAAGACGCTACATTTTCCTCCCTTACATGTAACAATGTAGTATACACACAAGTGCTAACAGAAGACCCATTTTTATGGATACATAGTTATTTACAGGTCACTGCTGAAAAACACCCGTTTCTCTGTGTAACAATCTTTAAATAAAAAGTGGATACCGACTTAAACAGGAGCAACTGTCAGAAATCTTGGAAGACAGACTGCAAACTCAGGTGGACTACTTCCATAATATCCCACTCAAGGCTCTTTAGATAAACTGTTTAAAAAATTTTCAGGACAAGAGTATTTTACTACCATCAGTGAATCTCACAAAATTCAGTTCTGTGTACTCACTTCCTCCCATATTTTTTCCTCAAGAGAAACTTCAACACAATGGATTTTAACATCAGCAATACACAAATACCATCATCACCTCCAAATTAAAAGAAAGTATCTCTCTGAATGGCCGGGCCCAAAGAGTTGTGGTGAACGGAGTTAAATCCAGTTGGCAGCCGGTCACAAGTGGTGTTCCCCAGGGCTCAGTACTGGGGCCAGTTCTGTTTAATATCTTTATCAATGATTTGTATGAGGGGATCAAGTGCACCCTCAGTAAGCTTGCAGACCACACCATGTTGGGCAGGAGTGTTGATCTGCTCAAGGGTAGGAAGGCTCTGCAGAGGGATCTGGAGAGGCTGGATCAATGGGCCAAGGCCAACTGTATAACATTCAACAAGGCTCAGTGCTGGGTCCTGCATTTTGGTCACAACCACCCCATGCAATGCTATTAGGCTTGGGGAAGAGTGGCTGGAAAGCTGCCTGGCCGAAAAGGACCTGGGGGTGTTGGTCGACAGACAGCTGAATGAGCTAGCAGTGTGCCCAGGTGGCCAAGAAGGCCAACAGCATCCTGGCTTGTGTCAGGAATAGTGTGGCCAGCAGGAGCAGGGAAGTGATCGTCCCCCGTACCTGGTGCTGGTGAGGCCGCACCTGGAATACTGTGTCCAGTTTTGGGCCCCTCACTACAAGGAAGACATTGAGGTGCTAGAGCATGTCCAGAGAAGGGCAACAAAGCTGGTGAAGGGTCTGGAGAGCAAGTCTGGCAAGGATCGGCTGAGGGAACTGGGGTGGTTTAGCCTGGAGAAGAGGAGGCTGAGGGGAGACCTTATGGCTCTCTACAACAGCCTGAAAGGAGGTTGTAGTGAGGTGGGTGTTGGTCTCTTCACCCAAGTAAAAAGTCACAGGACAAGAGGAAACAGCCTCAAGTTGTACAAGGGGAAGTTTAGATTGCATAGTAGGAAAAATTTCTTCACCAAAAGCGTTATCAAGCACTGCAACAGGCTGCCCAGGGAGGGGGTAGAGTCCCCAACCCTGGAGGTGTTTAAAAGATGTGTAGATGTGGTGCTTGGGGGACATGGTTTAGTGGTGGACTTGGTAGTGCTAGGTTAATGGTTGGACTCAATGATCTTAAACATCTTTTCCAACCTAAATGATTCTATAATACCATGGTAACAGCGACAGCAACCTTCCACAATGAGATGACAGGATCAGTGAGCAAGAGGAAAGCAATGGATGTTGTTTATCTCAACTTCATTAAGGCTTTCAACATCATCTCCCATAATCTCCTCAGACTAATTAATGAAGTATGGGCTAGGTAAGTGGACTCTGATGAAAACTGGCTGAGCTTCCAGGCTCAAAGGGTTGTGACCAGCAGTACAAAGTCAGGCTGGAAGCCAGTCACCAGTGGTGCACCCCAGGGGGTTAATATTGTGTTTACATCTTCATTAATGACCTGGATAATGGGAGAGAATGCATCCTGAGCATGTTCACCCGTGACACAAAATGGGAAGGAGCAGTGGCCTGTCATTCAGATAAACCTCAACAGGCTGGACAAATGGGCAGAGCGCACACTGGGGACCAACTGTCCCAAAAGCAGCTTTATCAAAAAGGCCTTAGAGGTTCTGTCGGACACCAAGCTAAATACAAGCCATCAATGTGTCCCTGCAACAAAGAAGGCCAAGAGCATCCTGGGCAGCATTAATAGTGTTGCCAGCAGGTTGAGGGAGGTGACCCTTCCTCTCTGCTCGGCACTGGTGGCACACATCTGGAGCACTGCATCCAGCTGTGGGCTCCTCCATACAAGACAGACATGGCCACACTGGAGCGAGTCCAGCAAAGGACCACAAAGATGATTAATGGACTGGAGCATGTGTCACACAAGCAGAGGCTATGAAAGCTGGAACTGTTTGGCCTTGAGAAGAGCGGGCTTCATCAATGTATATAAATATCTGATGAAGGAGGGGGAAAGGGAAATGGAGTTGAACTCTTCTCAGTGGTATCATCCAATGAATGGAGAAGAGGCAATGAGCACAAATTGAAAACAAAAAACCCAACTTCCATGTAAGAGGGGAAAAAAACCCCAACCCACACTCACCAAAAAACCCACACTTTTCCTACTGTGAGCGCAGTCAAATGCTGCAACAGGCTGTCCAGAGAGGTTTTGTAATCTCCATCCTTTGACATATTCAAAACCCGACTGGGCACTGCCTTGAGCAGCCTTCTCTAACTGACCCTGCTCTGAGCAGGGGAGTCAGACTAGATGATTTTCAGAGCTCCCTTCCAACCTCAACCATGTGATCTAGGTGAAAAATCAACAACTGACTAAAACTAGAACATCTGTAAGACACATGTGACACACAGGAAGGGAAAAGGTTTAGAAAACAACCTGTGATAACTGATCTCCATTAAGGGTATCTGCTCTATTAAGATTTTCTAAGCTGAACACTTTCTGAACAGCCAGTTTCTGGTGCATAAACATGAACCCATCATCATCCTATCAAAAGCTGTACAGGATGCAGTGTCTCTTCTTTACAAAAGCAGGAGCTTACCTCCAATTTAGTACTAGTGTAGCTAACAGGTTTAACTAGCATCACATGTTCCGCATCCTGAAAACACAGCTTTTATTTTGTAGTTGAGAAAGACAGGCTTAGTCCCCCACATTCCCCAAAACACACACATTTCCACAATTCTGAAGGACTATTTCACCTGAAATCCAAAAAAGAACATCCCCCATGATAAGAAAATTTGAACTAACAGCTTTGTTTATCTCTTTCTTCTCACGTACAGGCTTGTTTGTTTTCTTCTTTGAAATTTCCATTTTGGAAAGAATAGGGAAGAAAAGAGACATTTACTGCATGTCTGAGGATTTCATTATTAAGAGAAATTCCTGTATTTAGTTCCAAATGTAAAATAATTAGCAGTTAGCGTCACTTACACCCCCTTTAAAAAAAAAAAAGCTTTCACCATATATACTTTTCTTTAAATGAAATTAAATTTCAAAGAGAAATAATAACAGGGTGGGAGGAGGGAG